GACGACTTCCTGCAGCCGGTAAAGCTGCTAAACAGATGACCTCGACCGCTGACAAAGTTACATAGTGCTGAAAACAGGCGAGTGGGGCTCTGTGGACATGAGAGAGTCGCCATTCTCCCCGTTGAACGTTGTCGTAATATTAAATCGACTTTGAAACAACTTTTTTAAGATGGAAAAGTACATATTGCTGCTTGACTGTGCACTTTGTTGATCACTCACCGATCCAAAATGGCTTCCTCCCTGCAAACTTCCACAGCCAGGTCATGTCTCTTCTGAGCGCACGCTGGTCAGGCTGCTGTTAAATCTGAACACAAACATTAGAACAACAATCAAAACACACATCGAGAGGATCCTCACACTTATAGAAACAACAGAGGGAAGTGAAATGGATGCATGTGCAGGCAGAAAACATAAGAGATGCAGGCCTCTGCCTTTTAGTCTTTTAAATTCACTTTTTAAATAGAGTCTATGATTTAAAGTCAGGCTGTCAGCATCAACTAGTTAATCACAATGATTAAGGTCTGAAATTAATGCATTACTTAAAGGAACATGTAAAGGTCAAAGTGAAAATAAAAGTGTGTTTGTGTTTACAGCAGTGAGCAGGTCCTCTCTGCACTGCCCCAGCTCGCCACAGACGTGCTGACCACGTAGCAGCGTCTCCTGTAGTGAGTCCAACCGTCGGACACGAGCTGGTGACCGACTTCCCCGTCTGAGTAAACAAAGACACAATCATCATTAACACACGAGCAGCCTGTATTAGTGGATGTGAAAAATTATTTAAGTGACCCAAAATAAACAGTTGTGGTCCAAGGATCGAGCCCTGAGGTACCCCACAATTAATATTGTATAATTCAGGTTTATATTATACTTCTGTTTTCTAATTACCTTTCTACCCACTGATGTGCCACCCCTCTGATACCATATTAACTAAATATCACTGTAAAATCATCACCTTGTGTTTAGGGGGCGTGTCTCTCATAGACCGTAACACCGGGAAGGTTGCGGCTGTAACTGGGGATAAATATTTGTTCTTTAGAAAGGTGCGTTTAGTATCCTGTCAGTGGTGGTCTTGACTGTTCTTATTTTAAATCCATAGTCTGCCAAGTCTGAGACCGAGAAAAGACTGAGTAAAAATGCTTTCGATTTCGATTTTTGTTGTATCGAGTACTACAACACTGGAATGATCAATGGTGTCAAATGCTTTTTTAAAGTCAACAAAGGTGCTTACTTAAAACTTCTTATTCTCTATTGCACTGGATATTTGTTTGGTTAATTACATTAAGTGCCACTGATGTGTAGTGATTGGTCCTAAATCCATACTGACTGCTGCTTAAACTAACCCTAGTATAAACCTGTCTATAAATGTTTCTAAACTGGTTTCAAATAATTTCTCTAATATCTTCTTGAAAACTGTGGAGGCAAGGATCCTGGTCTGTAGTTGGAAGAACATGTTTGTCTCTGTTAAGCAGAATTACTTTGAAGTCCAGTGGATTCAAGCAGAAAACTGAAAATAAATTTGCATGTGTGTTTGTGTGTGACCTTGCGCTGGCGTAGCTCTGGCTGGTTTTGGGTTCTGGATGATCCATCTGAGGAGGGTCACCAACCGGGAGCTCCTGCAGGAGGCGACTGTGAGACCAGCGGAGGCGACTGTGAGACCAGCGCACTCCACCCAGCATCACCGGCTTCAGCTCCTCCAGCCGGAGAGGAGTCATACTGTGGAACTGATGAAGGAGCAGAAACATATTAACCCTGTGTGTCTGTGTGTGTGTGTGTGTGTGTGTGGTGTGTGTGTGTGTGTGTGTGTGGATAAACTGAATCTTACCGTCCACACCTTCTCCTCAGACCTCCTCTCCTGACAGATGGACCTGAACAGCAGCAAAGGGTTAAAAATATAAAACAGCACATGTAAGTATACATAGATAATATAAAAGTCCCTAAGAACAAACAGGAGTAGAGGATCACACTCACCTTTAATCCTCCTTCTCTGACCCTGTGTCCGGTGTTCCCGGTCCCTGGCTGCTGCCTGCTTTGGGGGTGGATGTGGGTGTAACCGGGGGCCGCCTGGTCCTGGGGTTCTCCCTCTCCATAGTCCAGGTAGGGCCGGCGGTTTGGGACGTCTCCTCGAGGAGGGTGAGGCTGGTTCTCCCACAGCAGCTCTGCCTCGATGTCTGTGACAGGGTCCTCTTCCTCCCTCAGCCTGGGGGGATCAGGGAGGCGAGGAGGAGGGAGCCGCTTCTCCTCCTCCTCCACCCTCAGGTCGTCTGGATCGCACCGTCCTTGAATATACCAAAGAGAGAGAGTTCTTTCTTTTAACTACTCCAAACTAAAAGGTTGCTCCAGGCAATCTGTCCTTGAAAAAGCTGCCGGAGTGGGCGTGTCCTACAACTTTTTTCCATGCTTTGCGCAGATACGTCGGCAGACATTGTTCTCATATTATTACGACTCAAAATCTTTAAATCTCAGGGTTTTTTTACTTTCATGTGACTCTTATACTCTGTCTTATTTACAGCTCGTCTATGATTAAATAAGTTCCTTCTAAAAGAAGATCAACAATCAACCAACAACCAACAAACTCAAACCTTAGCTCGTCCTGTTCTGAACATCGATATCTAAACACAAACATTTACATTTAACAAACTAAGGGGGAGATTTAAAAATAGATTTGGTCTTTGACAGTTTAGGAGTTGATTTTTATTTACCTCCCCTGGGGTCGATGATCTCAACCCTGGCGGAGGTCCTCTGTCCCAGGACGGCGTTTTTCGGATTTTTCAGGGTGACAGTGAAAGTCTCGTGATTTTCCTCCAGACCGTCGTCTATCAGGTAGATGCTCCAGGTTTTCACGCTGACTCCTGAACACAGAAGGTTTTAGCGAATGATGCAGGCATGTTGATTTAAAGGTGACATCTTCCATCATGTTTCTCTAACTCTAACATGTGTCTCTAGTCCGTCTACAAACCCCCCAATGATGAGAAAAGTCCATCCTCTCCATCTTCTCCCTGCTCCACTTTTCAGAAAATGTGTGCTCAAACAGGCCGTTTGGAGATTTTCCCTTCATGACATCACAAAGGGCAGTAACCCCTCCCCCAGGTGGGTGACACTCCCACAGCTAGGTGTTTGTTCTGCCCTCTGAATCTGCCTTCTCACCGTAAACAATAGGACATGGAGCGAGAAAGACCGAGTACACCCAAGCCCTTCCAGAGAGGGGGCGTGGTCAGACACAGCTCATTTACATATTTAAAGGTACAGACACAAAAACAGCCTGTAAAAGAAGCCAAACAGAGTCCTGACCTGGGTCAAACTGGATGAGAGCGGCTGTGCTGTGGGTGAAATCTCTGCCGGGTTTGGCCGATCCCTCCTCCACCTGTGTGAACAAACATGTTAAAGAAGAACCGAGCAATGATTTCGATTTATAATGACGTTAATCTTCCTTTAAACCAAGAGACAAGGTACCTGGATAGCTATGTACGCCGGGTCGACGCTCTTTCCGCTGCGTTGGATTTGGATCTGAAGCGTCCCCGCCGTCTCACAGGTTCGGTAGCAGGTCACCGACAACTCCACCCGAGACCAGGACAGGTCCAGTCTGCAGCAGACACACAGCTGAATCCTTCATATTGTCACAAGTTTTTAAGTATTTCTGAGTGACACAAGCTGAAGGTCGGCGCTGGTTACTTCCTGGTTCGATCACTGAGCTTCAATTCTGAAGAAGCCGAGTTGGTAAGATACTCGTTTGTATTTTTAACACGTAGATTCATCGTATTAAACTCTTTTGTGTCTTTGTGCATAAGCGTGATCTTTCTACAAACCCACATCTCGGGCAGCGCCATGTTTCCTGCCGGGTCAATGAGGCGGAACTCGAAGCTGTCGGCCGTCACCTCCATATCGACGGGGAGGACGAACACGACGGCACGCTGGTCCACGTCCCGCTGCGTGAAACGACCTTTAATGTAAGCTCCTGTGAGAACAGAAAGAGTCTTCATGAGGAACGTTACTATTCTCTCCCGATACTGGAGTGTTAATCTGTTGCTAGGTAACGGCTCGGCTCACCTGTGACAGCGTTCTCCAGGTATCCGAAGTGAGGCGGTCTGGTGATGGAGAACTCCAGCTCCTCCGCGGGGCTGTCGGGGTCCGAGGCCTGCAGGTGTTTGGAGGTGATGAAGACGCCGTATCGACCGCCGCCCAGGTCCACCACGGTGCTGGGGCTCCTCCTGGTGGTCAGACTGGGAGGCGTCCGGTCCACGCGTTGCACCTGAACGCACCACAAGACTTTTAGCAGCTGGTTACCCAACAGGAGGACAATATTTTTACTCGATTTTTTATCCTTTATTTTATTCTCAGTGAGACACTTTTTATTTCTAAGGGAGAATCGGCCATAAAAGTTTAAATTCAGACATCCTGGTACTCGATACTTTGATGAAATGTGACGGATTATTTTAAGATTTCATTATTTTTAATCTTTGAACCTCGTATGATTTTATTAATTTTTTCAGTTTCATGCAACAATGAGGTAAAATAATATTTGTAACATCCAGAAATGTTGCATAAAACAACAAATGTTAACACACACATACAAAAAAAGAAGGAACTTCCTTATAGAAAGGCAGAGCTGCCCTGGGTGGGTGGTCACAGGTAATGTCTGTGTGCGCTGCTACTGAGGTCATAAAGAAGCGTCAAGCTTTAGGGATCATGCTTCATGGACGCATTTGAGGCGACATTGCGCGCCAAATTGAGGCCAAATGTAGAGGTAGGAAGGAACTGCAGGATGCTGTGTGTTGATGTTGGACACTCAGTTGGGGGTGAAAGCGTCTCTGTGTTGCCGCGTGATTGGTTCATGTGTTTTGTTTATTGAGGTGATTTGTAAATATTGGTTTTGAAGTGGTCACTGTGATTATTAAATATTGTTTCTGTCTGTGTTGTGGTTTTAAAGTTGAGTCAGGCAGAACGGAGTGAAGTGAAAACTGATGCCAATGTTTTTAGATTGGTGTGTGTGTGCGTGTGTGTGTGTGTGTGTGTGTGTGTGTGTGTGTGTGTGTGTGTGTTTGTGTGTGTGTGTGTGTGTTTTGAACCTTGTCGCCATTAAAGACGTCATGAACTGATTTATGAATCATGAATAAAGTTGCTTTTTGACACATTTATCTTGTGCCGATGAGTTTCTTGCAGGGGGCTGCATTTCCCTTCATTATTAATTTGAGACTCTCAGAGGTGCAGTTCTGTGTGTTCACCACCAGATGTCGCTCTTGTCATGTGTTATAATCAGCAGACTCAGAGTGAGACTGACTGAGAAGCTTTAAAAACATCTTTAAGTATCTTTATGTTTAATAAAGGAACGCTTCCTATAAAAATAAAAACACACATATGTAGAAATGTTTGTGTGAATATGAGTCATGATGTTTTTAAAAAGACGTCTGCATCTTTCAGCACCTCCACGACTTCCACTAATGATTATTAATCTGCTCATTAACTCCATTGATCGGACATGAAAATCGGACACCCAAAAAAAGATGTAAAGAATACCTCTAGATGAATCAAACTTAAACTTTGCAATTAAAAATAGATTTATACAAGAAATGTACATAACCCGTGCAGGGATAAAAATATATGTGAGATTTAAACAAGAACCTAAAAACAGTAATTAGACCTGAATATAAAAAATAAAAAAGTGTTGACCTTCTGAAGTTGTGATGTTTATATATGTACAGCAATGTTTGAAAAGAAGATTTATATTTATTTTTATTTTATATTATATATTATATTTTATTATCTATTTATATATTATATTTATCAAATATTTATTTGATAAAAAATGGCTGAAACGTTTGAGTGCTCTGACTTTGTTTCCAAGTGTTTATTTGTGGATTCATGTTGGGTCAGCAGTAACAGAGATATGATCACAAAGTGTCACTAGGGGTTCAAGGGGCTTTGACCTTTGACCCCTCAGTTTGAGCTTCCAAAGAAAAAAAGAAACAATCCACTGAAGTTGGGGGGGGGGGGGGGGCATCTGAGCAGAGACTGACTGGGACAAATATGACCCTGCCTCTTACATCGGTTTCTTAGCGTGCGTGTGTGAGGGTTGGAGCAGTTTGGACAGTTATGACCCTCCACCTCTGAGCGTTGACTGTACCGTCCCCCCACTCTCGCTCATCTCTCGCTCTAACCCTGTGAACCCACTTCACCGTGACAACGGGTGCTCCAGAACCAGGAGGAGCGTCCTCTCTATGAAGTCACAAATGTGACATTAAATCAAAATTAAATTCTCTCTCACACACACACACACACACACACACACACACACACACACACACACACACACACACACTCAAATCCCATAACTCCGGTCTCTCTTAGTCTCAGGACGGTCTGTCCAGCCAGCGTGTTAGCCACCTGGCTGCTTCAGTGTGTGTGTGTGTGTGTGTCCGTGTGTGTGTGTGTGTGTGTGTGTGTCCGTGTGTGTGTGTGTGTGTGTGTGTGTGTGTCCGTGTGTGTGTGTGTGTGTGTGTGTGTGTGTGTGTGTGTGTGTGTGTGTGTGTGTGTGTGTGTGTGTGTGTGTGTGTGTGTGTGTGAGAGAAAGCATGTAACATGCGATTGGAGGGAGGCTGGGGGATGTCTTGGCTCACCTGCTGCTCTCTGCTTCAAATATTTATCTATGTACTTCCCTTGTCCACCTGAGAGTCGAGCCGACTACAACAACACCTCCAGCGCTCGCCAACACACGCCGGCGCTCGCCAACATCTTCTGTTGCTGCTCTCAACGGAAGCCTCTCAGGCCCAAATTATGTAAGTGCTCTACCTAAAATAAAACCTACCTATACAATAAAATGGCCTCGGTCTGATCCAACACAACATTTCTACAAGAGAAGCTGAAAGCAGGCAGCGCCTTCTGCTGGTTGAAAAGGAGAATTGCAATATATATATTTTGTCCAACTGATTTAAATGGTCCATATTTTATGGCTTTTACTTGTACTGCGAGGTATCGTTACATGTCTGCAGATAGAATTGAAGTTCCTCTTTTAAACAGCTTTAATTAAGTTACACACAGATGATTTGAGCTTTTACACTCAGATTGAAACAGCACATCTCCTTACACCGGCTCCCAGTTACTGCTCGCATCAAATTTAAAACTCTGCTGCTCACTTACAAAACAGACACAAAAACGTCTCCTTACTTTAACTCTCTCATCCAGGTCTACACTCCCTCCCCCCTCTACGCTCTGCCAATGAAAGGCTTCTGATCCAACCTTCACAACAGGGTCCTAAGTCTCTGACTAGACTCTCCTCTGTCGCCCCCCGGTGGTGGAATGAACTTCCAAACTCCATGTGATCTGCAGAGTCCCTCTGCACCTTTAAGAAAAAGCTAAAGACCCAGCTCTTTCATGAATACCTACTAACTTAATGATGATGATATTTAAGATGGTTTCGATGCTGATTAGAACTCTCTGCTGTCGATGTGTCTCTGCCTCTGGTCACTTCCTGTCAGCACTTGTGTCTCTGAGTCTGGTCAGTTCCTTCATACCGGCACACACGAACCGCACTCACTTGGCAAACGGACTTGTGATCGTGTTAACCAAACAGGTTTTAGGTGTGAAGGCGCCCTCAGTTTAAATACGTCCTCTGTGTTTTTCTCACCTGAACGTTAAAAACAGCCGGCTCCTCCTTCAGCTGCCCAAACTCCAGGTATCCTCTGTTGCTCCCGTCCGTCGCCAGGAAGTAGAACCTGTCGATCTCTGCGGGGCTGCTCGGGTCGTGCCTGTACGCCACCTTCAGCTCGTCCACGTCCGTCTGGGTGAACCTGAGCGGCGACGACATCGGGACTCCTCCCAGCAGCAGTTTACCGTACTGCGGCGGCTGCGTGACGATGAAGCTCAGGTTGGCGGCGGCCGTGTCCGGGTCGGTGAGCTGCAGCTGCTCGGCCGTGATGGTCTGCGTGGAGCTGTCCTGGAGCTGCAGGCCCGTGTTATGGTGGAGGGTCGGCGGGATGCGGTCGCCGTGCTTGATGGTGAAGTGGAGGGTGCCGCTGCGGGACGAGTCGCCGTTTGTGACGACGAAACTGAGAAGAGACAAATCGAACATTTGTGAGATAATGTGCTGCTTTGAATCACTCCAGCCTTCAGATACGGGGTCCAAATGCCGGAGATTTTCATGAGAACAAAAGTTAAAGTAATTTAATGTTTTTTTTAGGAGCAGTATGTAACTCTGACCCCTAGTGTTTAAAATGGGTACTGCAGTCTAAATTCTAAACATCATAGAGAGCTGTCTCCCCCCTCCTCTCTAGAGTGGATGCTCACTCAGGTCACCATGTGGTGGACTCTGAAGCTTCAGTGTTTATCCAGCTCTGCATGGGTCTGTAAACCTTTCTGTGTTCTAACCTCTCTCCATTTTTCAAAAGCATCTCCAATATTGATCCTAGTTTGAGCACGTTTCTGCTCGTGGAGCTTATTAGAAACATGCAGAGGCTTTTTAGGTCGGGTACAATCACTTCTATCTGAACCACTTCTCTTGACCGCTTCCATCACTGCAACACCTGTTGACCTGATAACTGCTCTCATATCTGACAAACCGAGGGGCGTCCAAAACAGCCGTGTGGGGGGCGTGTCTTAAAAGCGCCTACCTTCTCTGGTCCAAACAAATCCAGAGCATTCAGGAGCAGAATCTAAAGTTAGAAGGAGGACATACTGGCTGCTGCATTGTTGTCAGAGAAGCCAGCACTTCAACATAGCATGTTTCCTTAATGATCAGAGAGTAAGATACCTTTATCAAAGTTACATAAATTACAAAATCACAACATCCTCAGCATCGCCGTCCTACACCTTCAATCTCCGGCCTCAGAGTCAGAATAATTAATGTCATGGCTTTCTAATGAGGAACTCTGACAGCAGCTTCAGTCATCAATCACTCACTAAATTTAACCAACACACACACACCATAGAGACAAGTGACAAAGCGGCGGACCTGAAAAATTAGCCCTGTGTGTGTGTGTGTGTGTGTGCGTGTGTGTGTGTGTGTGTGTGTGTGTGCATGTGTGCGTGTGTGCGTGTGTGCGCGTGTGCGTGTGTGCGCGCGTGCGCGCGTGCGTGCGTGCGTGTGTGCGTGTGTGCGTGTGCGTGTGTGTGTGTGTGTGTGTGTGTGTGTGTCTTGTACTCCTCTCAGTCCTCTGCCAACACAATCTGCCTCTCAGCCCTGCAGCTGACAAACTGCCCCGGGCCTCAGCACACCGGCCACCACAAACACCCCCCCACACACACACACACACACACACACACACACACACACACACACACACACACACACACGGAGGCAGGTCCTGGTGTAACATCTGGCTCCGATGTCGGCCATATTTGCCCAGGGAAGGCCGTCTGTGGCCGCCGCTCTGGCCAGCGCTGTTGTTATTCTCTTAATAATGCCCATTCATCATCTGCTGTCACAGCAACACAACAGACACACAGATGAGTGATGCTCAGGTGTGTGTGTGTGTGTGAGTGTGTGTGTGTGTGTGCTTCAGATGTTAACACATCTGAGTCTGCATATTGGTCCTAAGATAACACACAAGTCACATTGTTACTTCAGCGTTCTAAACAGAGATTTAAAATCCCCATGAAACGAGACTTCGAGAAGATTCCTCCCGAAACGGGAGAGAACCAATCACAGGATAGAAGGCGGGACATCAAGGCTTATGTTGCAGACGGTTTCACTGCTGCAGGATGAACAAATCTAGAGTTCTCATCTTAAAACAGTAGAATCAGGAGACTAGAACAGACTGAAGGAACCCTTTAGTTCCTTCAGTCTGTCAGTCAGCGTGGCCTCTTTCAGTCCTCCGTCTCGGACTCTTGGCTGTGATCCGGTCTCTCCTTTTAGAGCCAGATAACCAGCCGGTCGGGCAGCAGAGGTCTGGGTGACAAACCCGGGTCTGCACACACTCCAGGTCACCCCCCCCCCCCTCCTCCCCCCTTTTAAAAAACTCTGCTGCTGCCAAATTGGCTGGAAAGGCAGATAAACATTCTGCAGCCTGGCCTCTCGTCTCCTGACACTCAGGTTTTTGTTTTTTTTCCTCGGTCTCCCGTCGGCCAAATGTTGTGTGTGTGATACTTTAAAGTGCAGAAACATCCTCGTCTCACGATGTAGAGGCAGATGATTCGCCCTTTATTCTCCTGATGTGTGCAGAATTTCATGCTGCGCTGCGTTAAACGGACCGGGCCAGAAGAGAACAGCTGCTGATGACAGTCCAATACAGACGAGTTAAGTTACCAGCTGATGTTTTGTTTCTTTATTTCATGTGCTCAGATTCTTTTTTATTGCCTTTTATTATTTTAAAGGTTCATTTTGTGGCTTTTTATTCCTTAAATATTAAAGTGAAAGGACAGAGGATAGAGTCAGAAATCAGAGAGAGAGAGAGAGAGAGAGAGAGAGAGGGGAATGACCTGCATGAAAGGAGCCACAGGTCGGATTCCAACCCGAGCCGCCCGCTTGGAGGACTAAAGCTTCCTAGTACACAGGTTTGCACGCAGTAAGCACTAGGATAAGGCCGCCCCAGGACTGTTTTTAAAAACTTTTTGGGCCTTTATTAGATCGGACAGCTGAAGAGAGACAGGAAGTGTTTGGAGGGGGGGGGGGACGACATGAAGAAAAATTCAAACCCACTGAGATGAGGACCACAGCCTCTGTACCTGGCGTGCAAGACATAACCGCTAGCTTCCATTTAAATACATTATTAAATGGTTTGTTTTCTGCGTCTGTTCTCCTGAGTCTGCTTCTGTTCGAGGTTGTCCTGTCTCGTGCCGGGACACAAAAGTTGAATTGAAAAAAATGAAGTTTATAAATCTGTTATTTGTTTTGGAACCAGATCTTTAATTCAGACTGGATGATATCTCCTTGAGTTTAAATCCCCTCGGATGGTCGAGCCCTCCTGTTTGTGTCACATTGATTTGACTTTCAGGTTTAAAACTCGTCATTAAAAGCTTCTCAATCCGATCGACCTGTGAGAAGGTGAAGGTGATGACCTTTGGCTGTTACAGGTCTTCACGTGTT